TTATAGCTAGGAGTGTTCAATAAGAGTTGTGAGTGTGAATGACTCTAAAAAGAGAACAAGCTGTCAAGAGTGAAGTCAGCAGAGTCGGTATCAACACCTAAAGTCGGCAATCACTCTCTGTCCAAAGTTAGGAGTTCCGTTACTAGTCATCAACTCAAAGAGTTGGGAAGGACAGTGTAACCATCCCTCGTTAAGAGGGAAACTGCTTCTAATGCTATTTAACTGGGCAATTTCATTACTTTAATTCAGCGGGAAAATATATCTTAAAGCGAAAAAACAGATCGCTTCGCTTAAGCTCGGGCAAGGTAAGCAAGAGCGCGCGCTAAACACGAATAGCCAAGCAAAGGGAGGTAAGGAAGGAACAGATTCGATACTAAAGAGCAATAAGGCACTCCTAAGCGAAGAAGGTAGTGAGCTCGGTTCAGGAACTTGCCTGCATGAATTAATCTTTCGAGAAAGCATGGTGCTTTGTAAACCGTCTAACAAGTGTCTTGTGAAGTTAGCAACTATAGTTTCGTTTTCGGGATTGGATTACTTCCCTGCGTTAGAGGGAGTTATGAGAGAGTAGCTACTATGGTCAAAGCAAAGCCCCATATGCTATCAGATTCATAGAGTCTTTATTGCAGGAAAGTAGAATAGGTATATATGTGGATTTGTAATTGGGAGTTCCTCTTTCAAGACAAGACAGAGTGCAGTTAGCGACTCAGTCCACAGATTCGGCTTAGTTCAAATATCCCTAGTTTGATAGCGGAGTTAAGTGGAGAAGTAACCAGGAGAATCAAGACAAGCAATACAGGAAGGAAGAGAAGAAATAGAATCCTGGCCCTAGGGGAAGTGGAAGAAGTTAGGGAAACACTACATCACATCCATTCCTGAATGGCACTACCTGACCTGCGTGAATGACACACTACCCTCCAAGCCCCTCCCTGAATACTCTCATTGCGTATGAAGCTAAAACTGTGAATCATCATATAGTTGCTTTGTCTTTCTTCCTTCCATTAATTCGAGGTAGGAACGTATGTTCCGTATAGGTAAGTGAGGGGTATGGGGGCCTTCTTTCTCTCTACTAACTGGTGTAGTTATCGGATCCAACCAAATTTGTTATGTAGTTTGTTTTCCGGGGCGAACTGAACGCCTGATGGGTGAATGGATGGTCCAGCTTGGTAGGGATGGAGTTCAAGAACGAAACTATATTATGTATATGAGCGATCACATCCTATCAGATTAGTTGAGGGAGAGCATCCTCTAATTGAATTTGTTGAGGGATAGTTATGGCGTTACCATCCTCCAGCCACCTAAACTAGTTACCCATCCTCCATCATCTCGCTAGCCAAATTGGCGATGGTCTATCTCCTTTTCTCGATCCCCGGAAAGAAGACCTCTGACATCCTGGGTTATTCCCTCTTCAATCTAAGGTAATTCCTTTAACCAAGTCTTTTTTCTCATTCTACTTAGTGATCGCCCCGATCTGTATCCTTGTATGTTGCCTTGAAAAGGGGTGTATGTTTCTGAGGTTAACTTCCTTTCGTAAAGTCTGTCCCCTCCAGATTTCTTGAAAGCTGAACCTAAGCCGGAGTTGTAGCGCCTGGCGATGATGGTCTTCCCCTTTTGCCCTCGATGGCTGGGCTTTCCTCTTATGTCATCAATGATAGTACTCATTTGAAATTGCAGAGGTGCCGGTAACGACGCGTTCAAAATGAATCTCAGAGATATGGTGAATATTCATAAGCCAGACGTTCTGGTGCTTATGGAAACTAAAATCCCCTTGCAGTCTGTAGTGGGCTTCTTCAATTCCCTAGGTTCGGACCGAGAAAACAGATAAAGGGAGGGAGCCTAGCGACCGGGGGATTGAAAAACGACTACTTGCTTGCAGGTAGGGAGTTAGGTTTCGGAATAAGAGGAATAGATTCCCCTCGGTTTATGGAGGAATAGATTCTCGTCTGAGAACTAGATTCGCCTCAATTGCTTGTCTCTTGCCTTCAGCTCGACTCAAGTTAGCTTCCGCTATTTTCAAGAGTTTGCTAAGCTTCTTGCGGATCAATGTCACTACCCCTCTCCGCATCATTTACAAAAATGGTGATCTCATTATTGCCTATTCTAGCAAAACCACCCATTAGAGCCATCGTTAACCATTGGTCGTTGAGGCATATTCTCAAAAGACCTATATCTACAACTATGGCAATAGGGGCGTGATTTGATAATACGCCAATTTGGCCACTATTACTATTACTCTTTTTAGAAAAAAATCTTTCTTTCACTTTTGAATCCCCGATTAGGAGTCAGTACACAAAGGTTGAATTTCTTTAATTTGCTCTCCACTTCTAAGTTCATAGCCTTTGCGGTAGCTTCATCGATGTTACTTACCAAAGCAAAGAAAAGGCCTGCTCGGGAAGACCATAGAATTCTCCGGAAAGGATCAGTTGAAACAAACCCCCTGTTCTTAGACGGAAGCTTGGGAGTAGAAAGATCGAAAGCTAGTCTCCGCCTCTGTATCTGGACAGCCAGCCTTTTCTCATCTCGGTGAGCCTTGCCCCTTAGAAATTAGAGAGGAACTAGGACTAAAGCAAGAGAAGTTCACGACACATTGTGACAACCAGAGTGCCATAGATTTGAGCACGAATTTTATGTACCATTCTCGCACAAAGCACATTGATGTACGGTATCATTGGATACGCGAAGTGATACAGAAGTAGCTATTGGAACTAGTCAAGATCCATATAGATAAGAATCCAACTGACATGCTTACAAAAGTGGTCTCGAGAGACAAACTCAAAGTATGCAGGGACATTGCTGGGATGGACTTCCAGTAAGGATCCTACTTCTCATAGGTGTGGAGGGGGAGAATTGTTGAGCATTCCACACCAAGTGAAGTTGGCTTTAGAAGTCAAGAATGGAGGATGTAGATTTTGGGCTAGAGCTTTTGGAGACATTCAGTCAAGCTATCCCCTTGTAGGGTGGTTGCATTGACGGCTTATCATTTATTTTTTGGTGGTTGGTTGCTAGTAGGCAAGCTCTCCCGTTTGTGTATATAAATAGGGAGAGATGTGAGCTAAGTTGATATAGAGATCAAGTGTGAAGAAAAGAGAGAGTTGTGAGAAGTGTATGATCTGTGAGTTGAGTTGAAAGAGTGAGACTCCTCCTCTTCTATTTTGTATCTGTTTTTGTTTATGGTGAAGCTTTCTTTCTTTTCTCCCGTGGACGTAGGCATTGGGCCGAACCACGTAAATATTTGTATCTCATTTGTGTGTGTGATTGTTTGTAGATCATTTTCTGGGTGTCTTTAATCACAACATTTACCTTTCTTAGATTTTGTGGGTTTGAAGAAATTTTGTAACTTGCTTGATTTAGGCATGGTTTAAGAGAGAAATGAATAAAGGTTTAATCACAATTTCAAATGGAGAGAGATAGAGAGAGAACATTTGGATAAAGTAAAAGAAGAATGTGTCTGCTTTTCTAACCGTTAGATGAAGTAAAAGAAGAATAGAAAGAGTATGTCTGCTCCTTTTCTCTGCTTTTTTAACTATTTACGTTTGGAAATATGTTGTTTTAATAATTTTGTTTTTATCTTTTCATAGAAAGATATATAAAAAAAAAATAGAGTAATGTAATAATTTATAGTGACTTTTTAACTAAAATGTTTAGTCCTCAAACCAGATCTTATACCATCTCCAATGGTTCATCAAATTCATCATCAAATTTAAATTTGATGAAAAAACTTACATTTGGCTCCTCTAACGATTCATCAAATCCAAGATTTCTCAAATCTTTTATCAAATTGGGGATCGATGTGCCTTTAATCAAATCACTGTTCATTGTCGTTGAATTTTTACCACCGGATGTCCCTTTGAATGTCTCCCCAAATGACTACCACAAGGTAAAAATTTGTGAAAATTTACAGTAGTCAATCATCTACCCGGTCAACTGATGGTTTGATGAAGTTTTAAAACTCTCTGTTGGAATAGTTGATATAAAAAAAAAAAAATTAATTTTTACTCAAATTTAATAGAAAAAAAAAATCATCGTTAAAGATGCCCTCAGATAAAGTGAAAGAAGAATAGTTAGAGAACGTTTGCTTTTTTTGTTTTTGGGAAATTATTCAGTATTACAGAAGTTCCATCTCATCTATCCTATGTGGTTTAGAGTGCTCTATTTCGATTTAGTGTTAGTGCGCCCACCATGTTGGCAACTCACTTAACCCTTAAGCAAATGTTAATGTCTATTAACCTAGAGAGAAGAAAATTTGTTAGCTTTTATAGAGAAGAAAAATATTATTTTATTTTCAAGATGATAACTCCCGCTCAAGATGATATTTTCATTTTCTTGCTTTTTTAACCATTCAGAGTCTTGATAGGTAGATCCAATCTTGTAAGAATTGTACTATATATATATATATAAGGATTTTCATGTATGGTACATAAAAAAATATAGATTATTAGATTTAGATAAGATAAATACTAGTCATTGGATGAATTAAAAGTAAAGGGTTTGACTATGGTATGCAAAAGTGGTATTTGCGTACCATACATAAAAACGATTTTGAGCCTTTGGATAAGAATCTAGAATCTTGACCATCCAAAAATAAAATGGCAACCGGTAATAACCGGTCAAGCAAAACTCTGCCCTGCATTTTCTTCTCTCTTTCGTTTTCTCATTCCACAGTTCGTCTCTACCTCATATTCTCTGCATTTTCATGGCTTAATCTCCATCTCTTTGATTTAGTGTTTCCGGTGATCAGCCATTCCTGTGTTTCCGATGATCAATGTGACTTAGCTTACTAATCATGGAAACTTGACTTACTACTCCATTTATTATTATTATTGTTGTTGTTGTTGATGATGGTGAAGAAATAAATTGAAACAAATCAGAGCTGTTTAAATAGATAAAAAAAATTGAATTGTTATTTTAACAGATAAAAAAATTGGCTTGGAGTTTCAACAGATTACTCTTTGAGTTTCAACAAATAGCTTCGTATTTAAACAAAATACAAAATATTTAAACAGGACTTTAGGAATTATATTATTAATACATTAGGTGTCACGCCCCAAAATTTTGAGACCGCAAGAGAAATATATAAAGTACAACTCAAACAAAAGAGATAACCACAATATGTTAATATACACATACAAGCAGAGTTATAACATAGATAACTGATTTGAGTTCCACTAGCGGTTTACAAACATTGTCAAACCAAAAGGTAAAAGAAGAGAGAACACAAAAACAAACTACTAGTCCAAGTTTTCAAGTGAACCACGGCTTTAAAACTTCATCTTGATTGTCTTCGGGATCACCTTCCCCGTCGTAAGCTGGTTCTTCACCTGGCATGACACGCCATAAGCTTGGAATGCCCAGTAAAAACACACACACCCCCATATCTTCTATCAATCAATCATACACAAGACAAATCAGATAACATAACATACTTCCATTAAGGTTTTATAAATTAGTAGTTAGACTAGGCATTTAGAATCCCCCCCAAAGAGATCCTTCTACCCAACCACAAGATTAAACACCGGACTACTCAGAACTCCCCCTTTTGCTGCTTTGCAGACCTTACCACCCATGCCCACCTCCCGGTTATTTACCTGTCAGTGGCATTGATGGACCTCAAAAGGGACGGCCAACAAGTGGGCTCGCTTACACCCAAATCGTGCCTCGGGCTCGCTTACACCCTACACATACCATACCAATTCGTGCTTAGGGCTCGCTTACACCCTGAAACCATCGCATAGAGTCTGAATACATCCGGGTCAACCTAGGGGCTCGCCTAAACTGCTTACGCAAGACTTAACTCATTTGGTATTAATCCCATCCTAATTCATGTCATGCATATGTATGAAATTGTTCTAAAACACTAGATAAACGTCACCCATTGCCAACCCTTTATCATTTCCCGTTTATTAGATCTTTTGCTAGGTAAGTTAGTCACATTCGGTAATTCGGTCATTTAAACGAGTATGGGAAAAACATACTAGAGGAAATATAGTCCATGGTCATCATACATAAGTATAGTAAGGCAAGAAAATAACATTAAAAAGGCTTTGAAACATTTAGAGACAAATAACATAATATAACACAATTTCCAGCACTGTTCGGTTCTGCAGGGCTAACAAGAACGCTTTGGTAAAAATACTTCTAGGCCAAATTAGGGGCTGAAATTGCACAGAAACAATATTCATTCTGTCTAGTTTCAGTTCCAATTTTCAGAAGTTGCACAGCCCCTCCACAAATTCATCTACAAACTATATTCGAAAATCTGTCCAGATTTGTCACCCTTTGGGGAAACTAACGTTTCTCTCAATCTACCCGATGGTTTTCACTCAAATAAAATCTGTTGGAAAGAGGATTCAGAGTTCTAAATTTTGACAAAAGAACCAACACGAGATGATTTTTCTAGAATTTTATAAAATTGCTAAAAGTGGACTGTTTTTCAGAGATTCAGGACCAGATTTTTTAACAAATTATCCAAGTCCTAAAAACACACAATTAGGAGCTAATAAAATTTTCACAAGCTCTAAACACATAAAATATCCTACAATAAATTCAGATTTGAGAATTAGATAGATTTGATATTTCTTTTAAATTAGAGAAGTTGCAGCAGTGCCTAATTTCACAAGTTTGCAAGACAGTGATACTATTTCATACCTACACTTTCACACACACCAAAAACACCCTATTTACCATCAATTTGTAACACAAGAGGCATACTAGACCATAGAATGAGATGATGAAAGGATTGGAGAAAATAAGGAAGAGGTATGTTCTTACCTTCAAGAATTCCTTCTCTTAGAATTATAGGGGGAAGGGGTTGCTCCTCTTAGAATTATAATTATTATTTGATAATTACTTCCTGCCAAGATCTTCCCATTCAATATTATGTCCAGCAAGGATATACAAATTCAAAATCTTCCAACTATTAATTTTGGTATCTTCATAACTGTATATGTATCATTGGACATTTGGACCAAGAAACTATATATGTGTATATATTTAAACTATGTATATATCCAAATAAACAATAGTATTCCATTCAAATAAATAATAAATGAAAGAACAACAAAAACAAAACAAAAAAATAAATTAATTTAGAAATTATGAGGCAAAATAAATAAAACCAAGTTTTAGGATAGTTCCAATCATAAAGTGGCGTTCTATGATTTAATTATGGTAGCACACAGAGAAATTATTTACTTGGGCCCTTACGCAGACTTTTACGGAACTAGGGCTAAAATGCTATTAGCCTAAGGCTCAGGGTTTCAAGTGTAATGACAAAAAAATTAGGGTCTCTACATTAGGCCTTTTTCTTATGCCATGTGTCCTTACTTTTATATTTGAAACAAAAAAATAAGCAAATATGCTACGTGTCCTTACTTTTATATTTAAAACGAAAAAATATGCATAAGATTAGAAATCTTGACTTTGAATGTAAAGAAAAAATCCTCTGAACACTAGAGCAATACATATATTATTGTATTATTTAATATTTTTTATCATTTGTTCAAATTGCACAAGCATCATGTGTGTCAATCGCTAGTATATAATGTGTGCAAAGGTGTAAAAATGGTCTGCCCGGCTTGAAGCCCACCCGAAGCTTGTCAGTTGCCCGACTAAGCTCGAGCCCGAACCCCCGGGCTTGGGCTTGGGTTGTGCAGTTTTTGGCTCGGCCTGACCCGCTCCAAGCCCACTCTGAAGCCCACTTGAGGCCTGACCTGCCTGATCCAACCGAGGTCCAACCTTATTTTGAAGCGATTTTGGTGAAACAATGAAAATAAATAAATAATTGTCAGGCCCTGGCCCGAATCTCCCTAAGGCTTGGGCTTGGGCTTGAGCTTGGGCCTAGGTTGAGATTTCGCAAGATTGGCTTGGCCCGACCTGATTTTTGGCGGAAGCCCGCAAGGCCTGAGGACAGGACCAAAATTACACCCCTATAGGTGTGGAACTAGCTTCTCTTCTCCACTTTAGTTGGGTATGTGAAGTTCATCACAGTAATTATTTATTTCGTAGGTCTGTGTGTGTGTGTGTGTGTGTGTGTGTATAAGAGGTCTATGTATATATATAGGGTTAGGCTAGAATATGTATATACAAGTTATGATATTTGTGATTTTTTTTTTCTTACCATAAATGTCATCAATAAATCCTTTTTAGTTATAGCTAAAAAGGAATGATGAGTCATAGTAAAATACCACACAAGAAATAACAAGTAGTCTTTCTTTTTCTTTTTTCTTTTTCTTTTTTTTTTCGAAAATGCTATGGTGTGCACTCCTTCAAGTGTGCATACCATATGCATCCTACCACTAAATGTGTAATTTTATCATAAAATTTTATAACATCAAGCCTAAAATGCTAAGCTCGTCACAAATTGATGTAACAAAAAATGTCGTAACTAAACTATAAACTTTTGCAACATTAACCACAAAATTTTGGACATTTTGTTAAGCTAATTTGTGGCGAGGTTAAGCATTTTGTGATTGATGCTAGAAATTTTGTGACAATTATATATTTTGTGTAGAGTACATTATAGGAGAAGCATAACCAAATAATAAATTATACAGGAATATTTTGATTTAGTATAAGATAGCTTACAAATATTTTGATTTGAGGCTCAGAAGGTGAAAATTTTGCAATGCAATGGGTTCCACAAACACTAGTGCAAAAAAACACCAGTTGGACTAGATAAAACTAGTAAGTCCCGATTTTGTCAAATGGAAAGAAATTCTTAAGAGGAAAATCATTGAACATAAAAAGGCCCTTGGAAGTAGCAGTAGCACTTTGATCAGTTTTAAACAAAATAGACATGGGAATTGGACTCACCTGAATTTCGAGTTGTGGATGATGCTAATGATGATCCATCTGTCGTCGATTCTTCAACTAGGGTGCTGCTACTGCTATGGTTCTCTGACAGCATTGAGTAAACGCGACCCATGGTGGGTTGTAGTTTTGGATCATATTCGATGCACATTACCCCAATATGTATGCACAATTGTACTTGATCAAGGACAACCAATGGTATCAATTTCTGGTCCATAAACTCTGAAACCCTTCCTTCCTTGTAGAGCTCCTTTGCCTTTGTCAACAACAAATAATCATGTCACAACTCAGCAACAAGCTCAATTAGAGAAACCTCCCCTGTATGATAATGGCTAATTGCAAAGCAAACTCAGTTCAATTAAAAATGTGACTTAGGTGTGCTTACTCCATCCCGTAGATCTTGACCATTGGAAGACCAATCATGGAAAAGCCAATTCTTCTGACCGCTTATCAACTCCAAAACCACTACCCCAAAGTTGTATGTGTCCACCTTTGGAGCAACGTCTCCACAATTTTACTCGGGATCCAAATACCCATTGATTCCATGTACAAGCATATATTAACAACAAATCAAGTTTCAAAAAGTTTGGTTTGGTTTAAATAAATAAATAAAAAAAAAAAACAGATAAAGGTTTTTGAAAACTCAAAAAAACACTGATCGGATGGATTTGATGGATTTGATTTTTTTTTTCTTTGAAAAGAATAGGATTCAGTGACAACATATAGAGAATGTAAATTATATCCTAAATCAAATTGCTAAAAAAAAAGATACTAGGAAAAATAAGAAAAATTATATACTTAACACATACAGGGTATCGGTAGCTTCACTAATATTAACATGCATTTGATCTTCAGGGAAGAGGCTGGCCGTGCCAAAATTAGCAATTTTTGGGACCAAATTTTCATCTATTAGGATGTTGGTGGGTTTGATGTCACAATGGATAATTACACTGTGTGATCGTTCATGAAGGTAAAGCAAGCCCTGGGCAACACCTACAATTATGTCATATGTTTGCCTTCCATTCAAGCGCATCTGACCTGCCAGTCTCTGAATCTAAAGCATCAAAAATAGTACAAAACTTTGAGATTAGTTGCCATGTTGAAAATGGTGACTTAATTAAAAAATTGTAGTATTATTATACAATTATTGTTTTTTGAACGAAGTATTATTATACAATTAATTCATATTATGTTCGATGCAAATTAGAAGAGCACAGATGTATAAATCTAATGAGTATATCCTTCAGGGTGTCTTCACTTTATGTGTAATTTTTATTCTCTGATCAAATGAATGATTGTTCCTCATTTTTTTTTAAGTCAGTAAAGAAAGAGAACTTTACCGATGATATGTAAGATATAAAGAGCATAACATACATCAAAAAAGCAAGTGAAAGTTACAAGTATGATAACTAGACTAAACGATTCAAACCAGGTTGACACTGGAAAGACAGCGCAATCATATACTAGCAAAACCCCAAGTTGATGAGAAACCAACCAACAAAGCAAAGAAGGAAACAAAAAAACATCAACACTAGTCACACCCAATGATCAATGGCAACTAAATAACCTCAAATCCCTTATCATTTTATATTAAAACAAATATTTATTTATTATTTATTATTTTAATAATTTTATATTATTTAAAATTGCAAGTCTATGGGAGAGTCTTTTATTGGTTCTCATTAATTGCAATCTTAGCAAGATAATATCAAATGGTGGTCAAACATTAATCAATCATATTGGTTATTTAATATTTTTATTAACTAATTAAATAAAATTTAGAGAAGAGAATAAATAAATAAATAACAGATGAAAAACTTCTCAAAAAGTTATATGAAAGTTAATGTAGGAATTTGAATAGAAATTTCTCAATTACATTGAATTTAATAGTTGGTAAAATAACATTGAGAATTTGTGTGGCAGTAAGGCATGTGTAATTTTAAAATAATAAATTTAGAATGAATTTTTTTGATTTTCGAACACCCTATATGTTATAACTCAACTTACAATTAAAAATACAGTAGGTGATATTAATACTTACTAAAGAGAAGGTAATCAAGGCTGCCATTTCTTGCAAACTCAAATACAAGCAGCATCGCTTCACAGTGTGAACAAAAACCCAGAAACTCAACAATATTTCGGTGGTGTGCAGACCTCAGCAGCAGTTTCATCTCCTTCAGGACAAGTTCCTTTCCCTTGTCTGAGATCAGCAATGGTTTCTTCACCGCAATTTCTCTCCCATCATTCAACTTTCCCTACATCTCCAAAACCCTAACAATCACTGGATCCAAGATTCAAATTTCGGGGGAAGAAATTATTTTACTAATTACTCATATAATAAATATATTTTTTACAATTTTTAGATGTGTGACAGCCCTGTCCCCAGATCCATCCTTCCTCTTTGTCGATGTATGTGGTTCATTCCATTAATCAATAAAGGTTATTTCTTCCTGACCAAAAAATATTTTTTTTTTTTGGTCTACTTCAGTACACTAAGGTTGTGTTTAGATCGTAAGATGATTAACCTTGTACACTTGAGCAAAAGCCACCATTGCCAAACTTGTTTTTGGCATGGAAACCTTCTGTCACAGAAGAAAGGGTTTTGAAATTGAATTGCTTCGGTCCTTGTTCTGCCACGATCTCCTGTGCGTCTTCAATTACAACATAGACATGAGTTGAGCACAAGATGAAAATAACTATAAACACATATTTGGTGACTCAAATATAAATCTGATAAAAAAAAAATATCATTTAAGAAGTGTATGATCTGTGAGTTGAGTTGAGAGAGTGAGACGACTCCTCCTCTGTTTTGTATTTGTTTTTGTTTATAGCGAAACTCTCTCTTTTCTCCCGTGGACGTAGGCATTGGATTGAACCATGTAAATATTTGTGTCTCATTTGTGTGTGTGATTGTTTGTAGATCATTTTTTGGGTGTCTTTAATCACAACAAGTGGTTTCAATGCCAAGGTGAGGGAGTTTCAGAAAAGCTGAGTGTTTTCTTCGAAACGGAAATTTTCCAGTTGCTTGAAATCACAATTTGAGTACATCAAAAGGACCGTCTCGACGAGAGAATTTCAGGCCCAGAAAAATCAATCCAAGAAGAGTATCCACGCGCCCTCACGCGCGTTGTTGGAGACTCGTCGGAGGATCGCCAGAAATTTCATTCTGACAAGGAAGTAGAAGTTGAAGGCGAGCCTTCTATTTTTATGTAATAAATATTTATTTGTGAAGATATATACCACAAGTCTTGTGTTGGCAGAGTGGGTAAAGCCCAAGTCTTGGAAGTCAAGAGTTTAAAACTCTTTGGCAACAAAATCTTTTTTTTTTTTAAGAAAATTCACCGAAGTCGAGTCGAAGCCCAAGCCGAGCCGAAACAAAGCCTGCTACGCCGATGATGTCAGCAGATCTGGAGTAATTATTCAGTGCTTCGTAGGTGTTCTAGATTTCACCGATTAACCGTTAAACTATTTTGGTTAGATCTAAGCCAATTGAAGTCCGTTTTTGACGATCCAATAGTGCGTTCCAACTATTTGAAGTCCGTTAATTAAATAAATTGAATTTAAGAGATGATGTAATAGAATCATATGGTTTTGACATGGTCTGATTTCAAGTATATATATGACTATCTTTGTATCCGCTATGTTCTAACGTTATAATATAAGATTGTTTGGTGAGCTAGTGATTTGCTCACCCCCTACCTGTACATGTGTACAGGGAGTGTTTTCAGATTTGAGGATCGAACAACTTGGCATGTTCTAAAGTGGTGATGAGCCATAGTGCTTTTAATTGTTTCTTTGGCTGCGTTCTATGCTTTGTAAAGGACAACACTCACTTATTTATTATAAGCCTTGGGGCATTTCTTTTATTTGTACGTAAATGTCGTTGTTGTATAACGAGAGGGAACATGTATATTTAATTATTTACCATTTCATCAAAGGTTGAATTGTCATTTGTAAATGAACTTAATTAATGAATATTGGTAATGTTATCCGAGTAATAAAATACGGGATGTGACAGAAATGGAATACCAGTCGCCAATGACTATGGGCGACGGTAGGATGGTGGTGAAGCGATGTGAAACAAAGGGTTATGGTTTTTGCTACAACGGTGATGGTTTTGGGAATGAATGATTTGGGGAGTGAAATATGGAACGATAATGGAATAGGATCGGCTTTGATTTCAGAATATAATAGGAGTGGGAGAAATTGAGGGTGTTTTGATCTTCTAACCTCAAATAGGATCCAATGGAATAGTTAAAAAAGAATACGGATTAGATGGAATAAAACTCTTAGAAAGATGATTTACTAAGAGATAAAATATATTTTTGCCAAACCTCAAGTGGGTTATTGGTAAAATTTTGAATAAAAAAATACAATGTGGCAGTTTTTTAAAAGATGAGAAATTTTGAATTTCAATAAAAATTGTAAAATTTCAAAGCTTCTCAAAAAAATTATAAAATTTTGCAATTTCTTACATCTCGTCTACTAAAATTTCTATTCATATAATAAAATACCTCTCCATAACAAAATAACTCTCCAGTAGCCCACCGTTTATTGAGTTAACAATTTAGGTTAAAATCAACAGTGTAACTTATTAAAATAGTCAGTCTGCTGTTGTGATTTTAGCACATTGTTGTGGGATTAATCTTGAACTCAATTTCCTGGCGGTTGAGGTATGGGATTTATGGTAAGTGAGGGTCGGGAGAGGGGTAAGATGGTTGTTGAGAGAGCAATAGTAATTTTTCTTAAGAATGAAATGTAAATAAGGGTACTTACGTAATTTTCCTTAAGATTGAAAGGTAAATAATGTCATTTTTTCATTTATGTTAATTACTTTAATAGACAAACTCTAACAAAAGCTAATGGTTATTTTTAAAACTACAATAGGCAACCTGTATTTTATATAAAAATCAAGGGTAATGGTGTTTTATCAACAAATAAGGAGTATATCACACACATCTCCCCTGAGGTTTGGAGAAAATACAGGTAGTCTTCACACTTTTGATATAATTATATTAATCTCTCTTGAGGTTTTAATTATCCATTGTGACATCAAACCCACCAAAATCCTAATAGATGAAAATTGGGTCCCAATTCTGATTTTGGCACGACCAGCCTCTTCCCTCAAGATAAACGAATGTTAATATCAGTGAAGTTGTCGATACCCTGTATGTGTTAACCATTTAATTTTTCTTATTTTTCCTAGTATCTTTTTTTTTTTTAGCAATTTGATTTTGGGATATAATTTAAATTCTCTATATGTTATCACTGAATCCTATTTTTTTTCCAAAAAAAAAAAAAATCAAATCCATCCGATCAGTGTTTTGTTGAGTTTTCAAAAACCTTTTTCTGTTTTTCCTTTTTTTTTTTTGAACCGAACCAAACTTTTTGGATTTGTTGTTAATATATGCTTGTACACGGAATCAATGGGTATTTGGCTCCCGAGTACAATTAAAGGCGGACACATATAGCTTTGGGGTAGTGGTTTTGGAGTTGATAAGCGGTCAGAAGAATTGGCTTTTCCATGATCGGTCTTCCAATGGTCAAGATCTACAGGATAGGGTAAGCACACCTAATTCACATTTTTAATTTGAACTAAGTTTGCTTTGCAATTAGCCATTATCATACAGGGGAGGTGTCTCTAACTGAGCTTGTTGCTGAGTTGTGACAAGATTATTTGTTGTTGACGAAGGCAAATGAGCTCTACAAGGAAGGAAGGGAGTCAGAGTTTATAGACCGGAAATTTATACCATCGGCTATCCTTGATCGAGTACAATTGTGCGTACATATTGGGATAATGTGCACCGAATATGATCCAGAACTACGACCCACCATGGGTCGCGTTTACTCAATGCTGTCAGAGAACCATAGTAGCAACAGCACCCTAGTTGAAGAACTGATGAGAGATGGATCATTATCAACATCATCCACAGCTCGAAATTCGGGTGAGTCCAATTCCCATATCTATTCTGTTTAAAACTGATCACAGTGCTACTGCTACTTCCAAGGGCCCTTTATGTTCAATGATTTTCCTCTAAGAATTTCTTTCCAGTTGACAAAATCAAGACTTACTAGCTTTATCTAGTCCAACTAGTGTTTTTTTGCACGTGTTTGTGGAACCCATTGCATAGCAAAATTTTCACCTTCTGAACCTCAAATCAAAATATTTGTAAGCTATCTTGTACTAAATCAAAATATTCCTATATAATTTATTATTTGATTATGCTTCTCCTATAATGTACCCTACACAAAATATATAATTTTGTCACAAAATTTCTAACATCAATCACAAAATATGTAATCTCATCACAAATTAGCTTAACAAAATGTCCAAAATTTTGTGATTAATGTTGCAAAAGTTCATAGTTTAGTTATGACATTTTTCGTTACGTCAATGTGTGATGAAATTAGCATTTTAGGATTGATGTTATAAAATTACACATTTAGTGGTACGATGCATATGGTATGCACACCTAAAGGAGTGCACACCATAACATTTTCCGAAAGAAATTTTTTTTATTATTTCTTGTGTGGTGTTTTGGTATGACTAATCATTCTTTTTTTGCTATAACTGAAAAGGATTTATTGATGACGTTTGTGGTAATAAACAAAAAATTACAAATGTCATAACTTGTATATACATATTCTAGCCTAGCCCTATATATATATACACACACAAAGACCTCCTACATATAAATAACTATTGTGATGAACTTCAAAGTCCCAACTAAAGTGGAGAAGAGAAGCTAGTTCCACACCTATGGGGGTGTGATTTTGGCCCTGTCCTTGGGCCTTGCTTATTTATTTATTTTCATTTTTTTCACCAAAATCGCTTGAAAATAAGATTGGACCTCGGTTGGGTAGGGCGGGTCGGGCCTTAGGTGGGCTTGGAGCAGGTCGGGCCGAGACAAATATTGCACAGCCCAAGCCCAAGTCTAAGGGTTCAATTTGGGATCGGGCTCGAGCTTGGTCGAGCAGCTGACAAGCTTCGAGTGGGCTTCAGGCTGGGCGGACCATTTTTACACCACTACACACATTATATACTAGTGATTGACACACACGATGCGCGTGCAATTTAAATAAATGATAAAAAAAAAATTAAATAATACAATAATATATGTATTGCTCAAGTGTTCAGAGTTTTATTCTTTACACTCAAAGTCAAGGTTTCGAGTCTTATGCATATTTTTTTTTTTTTTTTTAAATGTAAAAGCAAGGACAGATGGCATAAGAAAAAGTCCTAATGTATTGATAATATAATTCCTAAAGTCCTGTTTGCATCATCAACTACAAACATGATCTATATTATTTTTTTGCAGGCCCAACTGAGCTCGCTAACAATGGATCATCATCTGGGGCAAACATTCACTTGGAGAACGAGGGCCTACCCAAACACAAACGACTAACCCATGCTCGACGAATCCAGCCAAAGGATGGGCAATCTTACATACCCTCCATTCCAAGCTCCTCATGTAGCAGTATGGATGGTATAGATAATTACTAAAGTCCCGTTTGCATCATCAACTACAAACATGATCAGTATTATTTTTTTGCAAGCCCAATTGAGCTCGCTAACAATGGATCATCATCTAGAGTAGACATTCAAAGTCGTCTGTGTTTGGGTAGGCCCTCGTTCTCCAAGTGAATGTCTGCCCCATATGATGATCCATTGTCAGCGAGCACAATTGAGCTTGCAAAAAAATAATACTGATCATGTTTGTAGTTGACGATGCAAACGGGACTTTAGTAATTATCTATACCATCCATACTGCTACATGAGAAGCTTGGAATGGAGGGTATGTAAGATTGCACATCCTCTGGTTGGATTCGTCGAGCACAGGTTAGTCCTCTGTGTTTGGGTAGGCCCTCATTCTCCAAGTGAATGTTTGCCTTAGATGATGATCCATTGTTAGCGAGCTCAGTTGGACCTGCAAAAAAATAATACAGAACATGTTTGTAGTTGATGACGCAAATAGGACTTTAGGAATTATATTATCAATACATCAGGCCTTGTTCTTATATCATGTGTCCTTGCTTTTATATTTAAAACAAAAAAACAAAAAAAATATGCATAAGACTCGAAACCTTGACTTTGAGTGTAAAGAATAAAACTCTGAATACTAGAGCAATACATGTATTATTTAATTTTTTTTATCATTTATTTAAATTGCACACGCGTCGTGTGAGTCAATCGCTAGTATATAATGTGTACTGGTGTACAAATGGCTTGCCCGGCCTGAAGCCCACCCAAAGCTTGTCAACTGCCCGACCAAGCTCAAGCCCGATCCCAAACCGAACCCCCGGCTTGAGCTTGGGCCATGCACTATTTGGCTCGGCCAGACCCACTCCAAGCCCACTCTGAAGCCCACCTGAGGCTCAACCCGCCCTACCCAACCGAGGTCCAACCTTATTTTAAAGCAATTTTGGTGAAAAACATGAAAATAAATAAATAAATAATTGTCGGGCTCGAATCTCCCTAGGGCTTGGGCTTGAGCTCGTGCCTAGGTCGAGATTTCACAAGATTGGCTTGGCCCGACCTATTTTTGATGGGAGCCCACGAGGCCCCCAAAATTACACCCCCATAGGTGTGTAACTAGCTTCTATTCTCCACTTTAGTTGGGCCTGTGAAGTTCATCACAGTAGTTATTTATTTTGTAGACCTATGTGTGTGTATATAGGAGGTCTATGTATGTGTATATGTATACATAAGGTCAGGCTAGAATATGTACATACAAGTTATGACATTTGTGATTTTTTGTTTATTACCACAAATGTCATCAATAAATCATTTTCAGTTATAGCTAAAAATGAATGATTAGTCATACCAAAACACCACACAAGAAATAATAAAAAAAAATTCTTTCGAAAATGCTATGGTGTGCACTCCTTTAGGGGCGCATACCATATGCATCGTACCACTAAATGTGTAATTTGATCACAAAATTTTATAACATCAATCCTAAAAATGCTAAGTTCATCACAAATTGACGTAACGAAAAATGTCATAACTATAAACTTTTGCAACATTAATCACAAAATTTTGGACATTTTGTTAAGCTAATTTGTGATGAGGTTATATATTTTGTGATTTATGTTAGAAATTTTGTGACAAAATTATATATTTTGTGTAGGGTACATTATAGGAAAAGCATAATCAAATAATAAATTACATAGGAATATTTTGATTTAGTACAAGATAGCTTACAAATATTTTGATTTGAGGTTCAAAAGGTGAAAATTTTGCTATGCTATGGGTTCCACAAACACTCATGCAAAAAAAACCTGTTGGAATAGATAAAGCTAGTAAGTCCCGATTTTGTCAACTGGAAAAAAATTCTTGAACGTAAAGGGCCCTTGGAAGTAGCAGTAGCACTGTGATCAGTTTTAAACAGAATAGATATGGCAATTGGACTCACCCGAATTTCGAGCTGTGGATGATGCTGATGATGATCCATCTCTCATCGGTTCTTCCACTAGGGTGCTGCTGCTACTATGGTTCTTTGACAGCATTGAGTAAACGCAACCCATGGTGGGTCGTAGTTCTAGATCATATTCGGTGCACATTATCCCAATATGTATGCACAATTGTACTTGATCAAGGACAACCAATGGTATCAATTTCCGGTCCACAAACTCTGACACCCTTCCTTCCTTGTAGAGCTCATTTGCCCTCATCAACAACAAATAATCATGTCACAACTCAGCAATAAGCTCAGTTAGAGACACCTCCCTTGTATGATAATGGCTAATTGCAAAGCAAACTCAGTTCAAATTAAAAATCTGAATCAGGTGTGCTTATCCTATCCCATAGATCTTGACCATTGGAAGACCGATCATGGAAAAGCCAATCCCTAGCCTTGTTGAGAAGCAGCCCCCCACTGCTGAAGAAGCTATTGACGACGGTGTCTATGGTGGAGGAAGTGTTGCAGACTCCAGTGGGTAGCAAGAGGCTGTTTGTTAGATCCCACATTTACCAGTAAGAAGAAAACTTTACTAATAATGGTGCATATTCTGAGACCATGACACATTTATCTTTTTGAATAATACTCTCAGAATTTATCCACAATGATATGGCGTGTTACATGTCAACTTTTAATTTATCACAAACTCAATCATTACCCTGTCATTGTGGATAAATATTAAATTGTGAATTCTAAATTGTAAGTCTCACATTTCTTGTGTACTGAATCTTATTAGTGGTTTTAACAATAGCTAGTTTAATACTTAAAAGCTAAGTTCCATGTAAGGTCAAACTTTTGATTTTTTGACATTTTTTTTTAATTTTTATTTTTAATTATACTAAAAGCTAAATTCCCAAACGTGACCTTAATGTCAAATATATGCAATTCAAAAATTCACATCCATCCAAAAACGCCCTACAAGCACCTAGACATAAAGGTTCATCGACCAATCTGGGTTAGTTTGGAAGCTAAGATTCTCCAAATGGAGGTTTTAATTTAATATTAAGAAAAATCCTTTTATCAAATTTGAGAGCTGCTACAGTTTCGTAACAAACATGTTATAACTTTTCTTACTAAACTAGTTCATAATATTTTAATAAGGAAATTACTAATTAAATTTGTATAATCTAGATTATCTAACATATTGTTAATTTTTTGTTATTGGCAATCCCGTTTACACTTGTATAATTCCTTTATGTCTTCTTAGTGGATTGTTTTGTAGCTTTTGCCCATGATTTTTTTATCACAATTGGAGGCGCTCCAATTGTGGTTTTTCCACATAAAATCATTTGTCGATTTGTCTTTGATTGTTTGATTGGAATTGCTATTTACTAGTTAAAATTGGTACATAATCACAAATCAATATCTCAGGGATTTAAGATTTTTCACATATCATTTACATAATTAATCTATTAAATTTTCTTGTGACATAGTCGGAAAGTAAGATTTGATCAACTCTAACTTTGAAAATAAAAAATTTTAGAAAACAATTATAATAAAATAATCAACAATATTCTATAAACAACTCATACATTTGTAAAACAACAGTCTATTACTTTCAAATATTTACAATTGGGTTTTTGGGCCCTTAAGTTCAAAGTTTAGACTTGGATAAGTTGGATTGGACCCTCATTTTTTTATCAAGTCTTAACAAAAATATTTTTATTTTTGAGGCTAGTATAAATGTTGGACTTATCTAAAAAGCCAGACATCTATTATTAACTTACCTAGAGAGGGTGAATAAGCCAATTAATAACAATTCTTATTAGTTACTCAATTTGTAGCCTTTAAATGATTAAACACACAGATAAGGAATCACATAAAAACAAAGATTTTATGTGGAAAACCCAAAAGGTACGTCTCAACACCCAATAAAAATCCACTAAGAAAATTCAAAAAAATCCACTAAGAAAATTCAATAGTACAGGACTCAAACAAGAGGACTTGCAACTATTCACCTAGGTTTACCTAGGAGTGTAAAAATGGCCCGCCAGCCAGAAGCCTGCCTGAGGCCCAGCTCGACGAGCCTGGTCTAGACAAGCCCAGACGCCCAACATCACTTGCAAGCTATTTTGGTGAAAAAAAAAGATTAAAAAATAGAAGAGTTAGTCCTAAGGCCCGAAACCTGATTACCCATGGATTTGCGCCTATATTTTTTGGAATTAGGCCGCCCTAACCCGGTCCAATTTTTTGGCAAGAGCCAAGCGGGCCTAGGCCAGGCCAGGCCAGGCCAAGCCATTTTTACACCACTATGTTTACCTAACTCTGCTAACAAATGCATCTATTTATCCAAAATTATCAAGCATAACTGCAAATACATTTGGTGTTGAGAGGAAAAGAAAAAGAGTAATCGCTAATATTGGCGTCTTGTAAAACTTGAATATTGGACATTCGAAACGTGTAGCTCTAAGATATTCGCATAAGTTCTATATCCTTTTTGTGCGATTTTAACAACTAGAGAAAAATGGCCTTATAAACAAAATCTATAATAAAAAAAAAATAGAAGCATATAATCGTAATGGCGGCAAAGATCAAATGAATAAATTTAACCAAAGAGGAAATATAGATATAATATAAGTTAAAATAAAGCAAGATGATTTTTGAATTTGTCCTACACACATTTGTCCTACTATGACATTTGAACAGCTGAGATCTATTCAAATTATAAAACAACGGTTGAGATATATTTTTCAAAAAATATCCTACATGTACATTTTCTATTTTCCTGCTTCTCTTTCTTACTTTTTCCTTTTCTCACTCATCCTTCTATGATCTTATGATCCCACCTTCCACTCTCTTTTTTATTTTTTTTTATTTTTTTTATTTTCTCCCATTTTTATTTCTCTGAATTTGTTTATTTTTTTTCATTTTCTCCTCTTTGTTCACTTAATTTTATTCATATTATATGGAAAAGTCTGTAATCCCAGAATTTGAAGCCAGATTTTACTGTGTAGTAGAGATTAAATTAATGAATTTTATAGTCCACAAATTAAACGAATTTGAACAATTAATTATTATATTTAAATATATTAAATTCCTGATAGACTTCGTAAATTTAGACCTCATATGAATATTCAATATATTTTAATAAAGTAGGATTGTTTTTGAATCTTCAACATATTTTTGTCCTATTACGACATGTGGATGGCTCAGATTTGTTCAAATTATAAAACAATGGTTGAGATATATTTTTCAAAAAATATTCTACATATACATTTTCTACTTTCCTGCTTCTCTCTCTTACTTTTTCCTCTTCTCACACCCCTCCTTCCATGATCCCATGATCCCGCATTCCTATCTCTTTCCTTTTTATTTTTTTATTTTCTCATGTTTTTATTTTTCTCTCTATTTGTTTATTTTTTTATTTTCTCCTTTTTGTTCAATATATTTTACACATTTCCATACAATGTATGTATGCCCGTAATACACTAGGACATTACAGGCATACATGCAATTTCATATAATTATATAAGCAAAAGCAATATTGTATGTATGCCCATGAAAATTGTATGTATGCTAGGCACATCTATCTATTTAGTTATATATTATATAAGCAAAAGCGAGTTTCCGTAAGGAGTTTGTGAGAACTCCAAAATTTTATAATAAATTTGTGATTTTATCAAATTAAAAAATAAGTTTAAATAGTGTTGGGGTTATAATTATATTCTAATCCTAATATTATTTATACCTTGCCTTCAGGCACGAGTATACACTTGTAAGTTAATATTCAAAGAATCAAATAAGATTAATGAAAGCTTTTCAATAAAAAGGTAATTGGAGAGAGAGAGAGAGAAGTAAGCTCATTTAACTTTAATATCAACTCAAGTCTTGTAGAACTTGAAGATTGGACATTCAAAACTTATAGATCTAACATTTTGACATGAGTTCTATATTCCTTTTGTGTGATTCTAACAACTAGAAAAAAGAGAAATGAGAAAAATGGCCTTATATACCTAATCTATAAAATAAAAATAGAAGCGTAACGATTGTAATGGTGGCAACGAAATTGTAACAGCACCGTAACAGCCATTACAACCTTTACGCAACAGTGGCGACCATTACAGATGTGAATTTTTGTCACACCGCCATAGCGGTCGTAACAGATGGCAGTAATGGTTGCGGAGGCTTTTTAAAACTATGCTAATAACAAAAATTCTGGTAGCCAACAACAGTTAATCAGAGAACATAAATAGTGCCAGAAGAACCTTTAGGAACAAAAACCTGAAGGGAAGAACTAGTTGGTGGAGATATAAGGAGAGCCCTCATGTGCAAAGAGGAGGTATCTAACATTGACTCGCTAGCCGTTATACTTGGTTGTAGAGTTTTACTAAGTAATCCAATCAACATTACTTTGTCAAGTTTTCCAACACATTTTAGGTCCTCATATGCTGTTACTATCACTGTTGCTAAGATAGTGTTTGGTCCACTAGAATGGAGTCGAATAGAATAATCATTCCTTCAAAATATCCATTCACATATTTGGTTGGCTGAAAAACATAATGAAATATACATTGCAACTGAAATTGTCAATCACCATTTGTAAGAAAATGATCGTTCCATAGGGGAGCTTAAAGAATGGCCATTTCATTTCATTCCATCTCTTTCCAATGAACCAAATAGAGCGAGAGATTAGAAAAGCAATGGATCAACTTTTTGTAGGGTAGAATGGAGGTGAAATTCAAGTAACCATTTGGTAGACTAGGGCTCAATTTGTACTCCTATTTAGGGGATTGGACCTCTCTAGAAGTATCTATTTCTTATGGCATATTTGGAAAGGTATTAGAAAGGAGTGGGAATAAGTTTGAAGTGAATATTAGTATGGTGGTGGGAGCTGGGAGGAGGGTGAAGTTTTGGTCTTCAAGAGAGTAAGCATTGTAACTTTGTGCACTTAGGTTGTGTTTCGACAATGGATTTGGATAGGTCTTTGGAAAGGAAAAGGGGAAGGAAATTTGCATGAAAAATAAGATAATTTTTTTCTCCATTTCCTCACATTTTCCTTTCTCTTTCCAAATCCCTACCTAAGTGCATAATCCAAACACAGCCTTACTGATATAGATGAAGATAATGATGAAAGAGAAATTTAACATCAAACCTTAGAGGATGGCAGGGGCAAAGAAGCTTTGTGCAGCCTTTCTAGGTTCTGTTAGCTGTCAAATCTCTCAAAGTTGTTATGCATCATCTTCTACAAGTTGCAGTTGAAATTTTTCCCTTTCCCGATAGTCCACAGAGAAGTTGGGCTTCTGTCTTTGTTCCTGCACAATGCTTAACCTCTCTCCGAGTCACTCAACTTCCATGTCAATTTTCAATCTTTCATTGTCAGCTGCTGACATCAAATTTTTCTGCAGACCAGAAACTATAGATTTCTCTACATATCCTTGCTTGAAAATCAGCTTCTTCATCCCATCCGGATATTCATAATTCCTCTCCAAGAGCAACGGTGTACAGTTTTGCTTATCAATAGACAATACCTCATTAACTGAACTTTTATCTTTTACAATTTCCTTCTTGTCAATGGATTAACTAGCTGTTGGAGCATCAGCCTGTTCTCTCTGTGTGTTCACCATTTACTGAATGTCATCTTGTAACTGTTGATTTCCAATATGAATCATCAGCCTATAAGCTTCAACTTCCCTTTCCAAGAAATGCTTCTCTTTCTGTCTCCTCACAAGAATTTCTTTACAGATGTTCATTTCTTCAGCATCACAAGTAGATTTTTCTTCTATTATCCTCTGGTATTGCCAAGCCTCCATTTCAATGGATACCTTCTCGTCTTGTAGATGTGGTATTATAGACATGGCCTCATCTGCAGCTGTAGCAGCAGCACTTCTCTCCTTCTCAACCTCAAGGTAAAGAGCAGCACGAGCAGCGTGTTCTTCTTCAAGTGCCTGTTCCAAGATTCTGATTGCATTTTTCTCATTACCTTCATAACCCAGTTCCTTCTGCACACTACTCTTTATCTCTTCATAGGATGATTCACTTTTCTAAGCTAGTTTCTTTTCATGAAGAATTCCATACAACTGAAAGCCATGTGAAGCTCTATCCCCAAAATTCTTAACAATTGGAGCGTCCTCATCATCTAAATCACATACCACACACAATAGCATTGTCATGAATCGTATTAGCAATAACCTAAGCATGGTTCTATGAATGCTTCCATTTATGTTTTGTAAGATTCCATGTAAAATCTGATACACCAACCAAGAGTTCATGACAACTCATGTCCAAAACATTGTTTTGAAATGGGAGCAAAGCTTATGCCTTGAGGAGAGCACAAGGAATAATCTTGAGGTTTAAACATTCACACTAACAGTTTAAAGTGCTAATTGAAAAGGAGACATAAAAATTATTCTTTAACCCTTGCCATATATGTATTGGTGGTAGTCCATTTGTTTAAAAACCAGAACAACCTCTTCGTTTCTTTTTCTTTTCTTAAATGCATTTTATTTGTTCTTTCTTCTTTATTGTCAATGTTTATCTGCATTATATCCACGTTAAGTTAAAAAGAGGCCAAAGCTATGTTATGCATCTACGGCTCAGAGAGAAAGAAAAACTACAAATTCTACAAATCTAGTTGTTTGGGATTTGATCAATTTAGAATAAAAATGTAGGTATCGTCAAAGAAACATGAAGCACTAACCTAGGGGGTGAGTTTAACCAATCAAAAAAAATTAAAAAATTCCCTTACAAGCCGTCTTACACACACACACACACATAGATGAATAATTTCGATCATCTGAAGGGCTCCTGAACTTTTCCACTTTTCGTTCTTTGTTTTAAGGATTTTAAAATATAACTCTTTTAAAAGCTTTTACTACGTGCATATGGGACCTCCGAGTCTATCCTTGAAAACCCTAGGAGAATTAAGAATCCTTACCAAGGAATTTGACATCCCTTTATGGTTTAAAATCCCTTCCCATCCCTTTGCCAAGAATGGCCAAGATTTTTAAAAAAATTATAAGACATAATTTCACCAGAAAGGTCTTCACTGGGGTATTGTATATGCATTGTCAATTGAAATTGTGACTTTTCGTGTATAGCATATACAAGAAATCGTTCTTATAAGTTATTGCACTTACAACACCAAGCTTCTTCAATTTCTTTATTTCAGCTGTGTAAGATTACAGCACAACTTATGTTGATTTAAAAAATGTGAAAGTGCATACACAAAATACACAGATACATGAGTTCAAAAATGAAACACTAATGCCTCTCCTCTTTTTTTTCCTTTTATTTTCAGTTAAGGTGCAAAGCTTCAGATGAAATGAAAAAAAAAATGGATAGAATACAAACCAAGATCAAAATCAACACTCACAATTAAAGTGATTAGCATCAGCTCTAGAGCCGACCGGCAGTGAACTGCATTCAATCTCATTATTCCCTTTACGATCAATGCTAAAATGTGACTGATCATTTGCATATGAAGGGTCATAAGAAACGGGCAAAACTTTTGCATAATCAGCAAGACCTTTTCAACGTCGCCTAAGACCATTCCTTGGCCTCTGATTTACAATCCCCTTACCCTTGAGATCAAACCCTCCCTTCTTGACATGAACTGATGAATTCACTACATCAGACCCCCTATACCAATTCATTCCTCAAAATCAAGTCCCTCTCAACCTATTTTGCAACTTCCTAGCACCCAATATTGAGCTACAAGACACTTCGCCTTCCATTTGAACAAACCCATCAACACAATTGTTTTGATCTTTAATTAACTTCAAATTCAATTGGCAATCTGGGTTTTTCGCGCCAATTGAATCAAAGGGGAACTTTGTGTTCACAGACAGTTGAACAGGAGACTGTCTCAATTGGGCAATCAATTAACTGCCTCTTCAACCAGTAATTGCTATTGGCGTTGCCAAATAGGCCATTAAAAGGACATGGTAAGAAAAGCCCCAAAAAATCCAGAAATTTGGAGGCAAAAAATGCAATAGTGGATGCAGAGAGTAAGAGATAAGCAATAGCAAGATCAAGAAACGCACCCACTAACCCACTAAATGTCCATGAATGAATGGCCTGGCATGCCATTTGGGTTCTACAAAATCCCTTGTTATTTCTTAATAGATTCAAAATGAGCACACTACAATCATATACCCTTGTTTGTTTCTAGAGAAAACTGAGGGGAAAAAAATAAAAAATCAATACACAACTTGACCCTTCTTTTCTTCTCCAGTAAGATAATAAGACGAGATTCAAAAAGTAGAGGGAAAAAAATTAGACGATGGGTATGTGAGAGAGAGAGAGAGTTACCAAAAAGAAAGAAAAGGACAGGGAATGAGATTCACAGTGAGAAGCTTCCTTTTCTTGTTATTGGTTGTTTGTTTGTTTGTGGTGATTTTTCAAAACCCTAATGTTCAAAGTTAGTGAGTATGAAAAGTCTTTGGGGGTGCAGCAATTGTTACCTATTTTATTGGGTCTATTTTAGGACTTAATTTGATAATTTAAATTGTTCATATTTTAGAAATTATTGAGTATACTAGTAAAAAATCACGTCAATCGGATATTGTTGGCCCTTTCATCAAATCACATTTGCATTTAAAAAAAAAAAAATGTAATTTGAAATATAAAACTCAATGCAAATATGATTTGATGAAATAAATAATGATATTTGATCAACGTGATTTTTTACAAGTATATTCTACTCGATAACTTCTAAAATGTGAACGGTTTAAATTAACGAATTAGGCCGTGAAATAGGCCCAATAAGGTGTGCAATAGTTGCTGTTGCACACCATGCATAGCAGCAACCCCAAACAGGTATGAAAATAGATCTAAGAGAATTATAAATGAGAAAGAGTAATGTCAGAGAGTAAAAAAAATTATTAAATATCTTACATGGAGTGAGATTCGCTGACACTTATATGATGTGAGTCCTCCACCCATATAAAATACTAAATAAAAAATTTAATAAATTTTCTTTTGGGATCTCTAAGCACTTTTCAAAAAGAAAAGCAACGATATGGACAAGGGTTATTGTTGTTGGTTTGCTCACATGGAAGTGCATGTGCTTTTGTTTTGTATTTTCCATGTAGATATTATGTCCCGTCGTTCAACTCTCTACATGTCCCTTAGGTTTCGTTTGTTTTCAGAGGTAGAATGGAAGGGATTGATAGTGAGTAGATTAATAGTGAAAGATTGTTCGTGAGGGAATTGATAGTGAGAAGATTAAGTAAAATTATATTTGTTTTGATGATAGTTGTTAGTGTGGAGATTGTTAAATTATTATCCTATAAAAGAAATGCAAAATATTAAAACAAATAAAATTATGAGTTTTACTTAACAAAAAATACAAAAACATTAACCATTAATGTTAAAAAAAAATGCCCAACATTTAAAAAAAAAAACAAAACAAAACCTAAGTCGGAGGACTAATTTCCTAATACCACCTTCACATCCACCTCCTCCATCTCAATCCCAACACTAAGGCCCATCCTAATCCTATGGGATTATGAATCCCCTTTCCATCTTCCAAAACAAACACAATATATAGTGGGTCTCACCTCCATCTCAATTTCGGATTTGGGGTGACTGTTGTGCAAGGTGCACAGCAGCCACTGTTGTGCAGTCAAATGGGCTCATTTCGAGGCCCATTTCGATAATCCGAACTGTTCACATTTTAGAATACATCAATTAGTACATATTAGCAAAAAAAATCAAGTTAATCAAATATCGTTTACCCATTCATTCACTCACATTTGTACCTACAAAAATAAATAACAATTGTGATTTAAAGTATTAAAATGAATACAAATGTGAGTAGATGAAAGGATAAATAATATCCGATTAACTTGATTTTTTGCTGGTATATTCTACTTGATGTATTCTAAAATGTGAAAGGTTCGGATTATCAAAATGGGTCCTGAAATGGGCCCATCTGGCAGCACAACAGCAGCTGTTGTGCGCCCCGCACAGTAGCCACCCCAAATCCCTCAATCTCATTCCCATCTTTATCTTCCAAAACAAACGGGGCCTTATGCCCAAAGATTTGCATAATTAGCTATCTTAGTTGTATTTTAATTTTTTATAAAGATAGACACCAAAAGTTAAAAAAGTGATGTGATACTTTATAATAATTTTTATTAAGTTTTGTTTTAATTTTTTATATTCAATTTTTTAAAAGTTGAATTTTTATTTTTCATAATTTTTTTTAATAAATATTTTTAAAATTTTAAATAATTTTTTTACTTTTTAATACATCTTATTTAGATGTATCTACAAAGCAAAATATTTATAATTTTTTTTAATATCAATAAATATACAAGAATACAAAAAATATATTGAATTCTCGTATTTTTTTTTATATTTTTGGTATTTAGTGAATTTTTTAAATATTTTTTTCACAAATATTATACTTTTTAACTGTATTTATGTTAAGTGTATCTAAAAATTAAAAAAAAAAAAAATTGCTTAGAATATTAAAAAAATTTAATAAAAATAAAAATAAAAAACAAAATATTTCAATTTTTTGAAAACCAAACAAACTATTTTCTACTATAAAATCAACTTCCAAAATGAATTTGGTCAATCCCACATGTATCATGTTATCTATACTATTATATAAAACAAAGGACAAAAATAAATCAACAAAAACAAAAATTAATCAACAAAACATCTATAAAAACAAAAAAAAAACAAAAAAAAAAAAAGCAAAACCCAAACATCCACATCATGGGTCGTCATGTTTCCTACACGCATTGATCATTTTTTTTTTCCTCAATAAATTTATCTTAAATTTATGATTTAAACATTGGCAATTTTTATAAACCAGGGTTTTATTGGCAAGTCCTTTTCTATGGGGAATATGGCATTAAGTCCAAGAATTAATTTTTTTGAATAATAAACACCTGATTAATGAAATTATTTAATAAAAATGACAAATTATTATTTTAAATAATTTTCTTTTCATTTTTATGCCTCTACTGTCAGACGACCGCAATCAATCGTCAAAAAAATAGCAGCAAAAGTCATCGGAGGTTGCAGCAAATTATAGGTGGACATTTAGGTTGATAGATAACTGACATGTGAACAAATAAGTGAATAGTGCACATGTGAAAAAATAGATAGAAGTAATATAATCTTTCAAATTGTTTTATCCTTTTGATCCGAAAAGATTAAAACTCAAGATGTATTTTAAAAAAAAAAAATTGAAATTAAACAATGAATCCCAATATATGAATTACCAGTGTTCATGGATCGGTTTAGTTTGGTTTGACATTAAATTTAGAATCAACCTAATCATAATCGATTCTAAGTTTTTAGATCCAAAACCAAACCAATCACACACTACATCCAGCCCAACCAAACCCAATGTAGTTCGAGTTGAAACCACAATTCCACTATATTAAAAATAAATGAATCAATAAATAATAAATAATTAAAATGAATAAGTCTTTAACATTTAAACATAACACAAACAAAGAAAAAAATATTGTTTAATGCAAACTAATACAATTAAATCTAAGAGGAAATATCATTTTGCCCCTCAAACTTTCACGCATTTTTAAATTTGACCACAAATTTCAATTAATATCAATTTTACACCCAAACATTCAAAATTTTGATCAATTTAGCCATGCCATCACATTTCGTCTATAATTAGAAGGATTGTGCTGACGTGGCACCAAAATTCATTTGAAATTTCATTTTACCCCCAAACTATACCTTAAAAATCAATTTACCCCCCAAATATTAAAAAAAATTAAATTTAAATATTTAATAAATAATAAATAATTTTTTATCTAAATAATGAAAAAATTAAATTTGAAACAATATATACTCTGCAAAAAAAAAAAAAAATAGAAAAATCCTCATTTAGAATTATCTTGAGATTATTAAGTGTGAGTACTTCGACAAACATGTCGTAGCCGTAACAGATACTTACCGAATTTTGAAATTTTTTTCCCACTCAATTTTAAAATTACTATTAGTCAATTAATTATATTGAAATTAATTTGGGTAATAAGCTAGTTACAATTCGCACACACACATACATAGAGTAGCCAAGAAATTTTCTACTCAATAAGTCTCTCTAAGATTGACTTGAGACAATTTGAAACCTATGAAGCACAGGTACACGTATGAGTTCTAATATTGGTACTATATGGGTATGTTGGCACAATAAAATTCCAAAAAAAAAATAAGATACGGGTACGGCATATGTTTGTAAAAAATATATTTTTTTAATTTAGAATAATATAAAACGGATTAAATGGTTTAATTTGTAAATCCAACCTACAATTGACATTTAATGCCAAAAGTATAGGTATAAGATAAATCAAAATTAAATATCATTTTATTAAATAACTTACAAACCGTAACTTAATTTTAAAACCATGCTAAGTACAAAACTAAAAATGAAAAAGAAGTTTAGTGAAAAGAATTTTATCTTTGTAGTAGAAGAAAATATTATTTCGACTAAGGTACAGCATGGCTTGTGTATATACTAGATATGTCTGTGTACGTCAAAAATTAAAAAGGAAAAATTTGAATACATGTTTTGTGTACACGGTACGTATACAAAAATACCATACATCGGTAAATACCCAGTACGTGTACGACATGTTTGTTGAATTATCCATGCTTCATAGTCTCAAGCATAGTTGTCAAATTGGGATTCGAATCGTGAATCGTAAAGATTCACTTACGTTTTCTAAATTACATAAAAAAAACATATTTATACACTTAAATATTATAAATATGAAATATTTAGATTTAAAGTAATAAAAATGTTACTTTACATGATGATCACGTGGTCTAAATAGGTAAAGACGCTTTTATGGCAAGAGATGTGGGTCCGAGCCCCACCGTGATCTATGATCCTATATTATATTTATGTATTTATGATATAATTTATGTAAATTCACATCACAACATATATGTATGGCAATTCACATTCATCATGAATAAGGTTCACAACTTAACAAGTTCTAAACTTTTCAAAACTCTAATCTATACTTGTAAAGTAACTTGTGTCAAAAAGAAACCATACAAAACAAAAGTTAGATTAGACAAAGTTAAAAATTCCAAAAAGTCTTCATTTCTTCATTTCAATCTTCATCATCTCCAAGGTCAATATCATCTTCATCATCATCTACCATAGTCACTTCATCAAACTCTTCTTCCTCTTCCTCTTCCTCTTCCCCACCTCCAATCAATTCAACTTCATCATCATCTTCAAATACTTTTCTTTTTCCTCTATCGATGGCATTTAAATTTCTTGGTCCTACATTAATAAAATTAAATAAGGTTATGAATGATCAAGTAAATGTGAAAATATAGAAACTAAATCTTTGAAATTAACTTATTTAAAAATTAAAATATAGAATTATACCTCTTTTTCTCTTTTTGCTAGTTGTTCCTTCATCATCTTCGAAACACTCTTGGATGTCCATCCATGAATGATCTTCGGGTAGACATGGATCCTCTTTCTCGGTAATCCATTCATCATCGGATTCCATATCCGATAAATAAATAGGATCATAAGTCTCACCCCTTTCTTGTCTCTTAATTTGCCTCAACTCAAGTTGAATGTTATACTTCACAAAAACCAAAGCATTCAACCGTTGTTGCTCCAACCGGTTTCTTTTCTTCGAGTGCACATGATCAAAAGTGCTCCAATTTCTCTCACACCCGGTGGCACTACAAGTAAGACTTAGCACTCTAATAGCTAACTTTTGAAGCTCTTTGCACTCTTCTCCGTAACTTTCCCACCATAGAGCTGTAATTAAATGATAAAGAGATGTTAGAGAATAATGCATGCCATTGCCAACATAATTGTTGTGAAATTGTGAATATATAATTTCATAATAAAAAATTTTACCGGGTTGTTTCTTTTCCCTTGTCAAGATGGCCATGCTCATACCAAACATACCCTCGGCCTTCTTGAACTTTTCTAATTGCTCATCAACCTTCACTCTATCCTCTATATCCGGATACATCCTCTCAATGGTTTTAAATAAACCAATTTTCACCTCCGTATCCGCATTGAAGTTTTCTTGATAATGAAACCTAGAAAGAAAGATAAATTCATAAATAAATTCCATTACACATTTTGTATATAAGTCACACAACACAACACAAATAATTAGACCAAAATAGAAAAAAACTTACATTGGATTAAGGTAATATGCCGCCGCATGCAAAGGCCTATGGAGTTGTAAATCCCATCTAGTATCAATAATTTCCCAAATGCGCTTATATCTACCTCTCACATGGTTCAAGTTTGAAGCAATTTCTTCCTTCGCTCTATCCATAGCTTCATAAATAAATCCCATTGCCGGCTTTGCATCACCATCCACAAGCCTCAAAATTTTCACCAAAGGGAGCACACACTTCAAGCAATACTTGATTGCTTTCCAAAATCTAGCATCTCCCAAGATTGTTCCTTGTGCCTTTTTTGCATTAACAGATGTAGAATAACTACTTCTAGCCCACTTTTCCGATGCAAACATAGCTCTAAGTTGGAGCTTTCTATCTTGGAAACTTTTTAAAGTGAGGAAGGCGGTGGCAAATCTAGTAACCGCGGGTCTTGTCAACTCTCTATTCTTTGTAAATTTTCTGAACAAATCAAGCACCCAAGCATGCCTATAAATGTACACAGCGATTTCCTTGGCTTTAATTATTGTATCTTTGAAAACCGTCAACTCACCTATGTCACTCAACATTAAGTCAAGGCAATGTGCCGCACATGGGAACCAAAACAATTTAGTCCTCTTCACTTCCAATAATCTACCGGCACCCACATACGCTGATGCACTATCGGTTACCACTTGAACCACATTTTCTTTACCAATTTCATTCACAATGTCATCAAGCATCTCAAACAATTTCATAGAATTTTTAATTACACCGGAGGTGTCCATTGATTTAATAAACACCGTTCCACTTGGACTATTAACAAGGAAATTAGTAAGAGAGCGAGATTTTCCATCGGTCCATCCATCGGACATTATAGTGCAACCCGTCTTCTTCCATTCTTTTCTATACGCTTCTAAACTTGCATTCACATTATCAACCTCTTTTTTCAAAAAAGATACTCTCACTTCATGATAACTTGGTGGTTTCAATCCCACACCATACTCACCAACCGACTTCAACATCTTCTTAAACAAAGGGCTTTTCACTAAATTAAAAGCCAATGCATGCCCATAAATGACTCTACAAATATCTCTAATCACGGGCTCCCTTTGCTTTATCATTTGATTCAAAGTTTGTTGTTTTGCCCTCCCCTTTGTGACATACGCATCCATAGTTCCCCCTTTACTTTTTCCCTCAATATTTTTTTCTTCAAAACAATCAACATCTATAATGTTGTCTTGTTTTTTTCCACTTAAGAGTTGTAAAAACATATTCATAACATCTTCAGAAACTTGACTACAAGCACCAACATTATCATGAGTTCCGGCTAAATGATTTTTCATTCGAATCACTCCACCCCAATAATCTTTTCCACAATAATTACATCTCAAATACATTCTATTATCATCTTTGATACGGGTACAATGGTCCCATGTTGGATCTTGTTTTCCACTTTTTTTTTTGCTTTTCATATTTTTTTTATCCATTAAAAAAAACAAAATATTTTTTTAATGTCCCACCCACAGCAGATTCTTCAATGCTTCTACAGTCCACACAATAGACAATAATAAAGTAATGGATAATGGACAATAAAGTAATGGAAAAGGAGTCTAAAGTAATATAGTATTTTATATTCCCTATTTGAAGTTTGTCTGGTAGTGTACTACCTCAAACAAAATTGCAGGTGCAAGAAGAGACGACCAAACAACAGCAAGGGCCCACGAAGCTCTGCGTCGAGGGCCACGAAGACTATACGAAGGGCCACGAAGCAGATTCCAGCAGCAAGGGACCACCAAACACTGCGAAGAGGGACCACGAAGCTCTGCGTCGAACAAAGAGGTGAGTCTTTCTAGGGTTTTGTCTGTTGGAAGTAAAAAGGGATCATGGGTTACCTTGGGTGGACTGTCGTTTGGTCTTAGAAGACCAGGCGACCCATCTTGTGCCAAGAAAAAGCAAAAAAAATGGCCCAACAATTGATTCTTTTCCATTCGGGTCCGAGAAACTGGGGCGACCCGCGATAGTAACAAATCGTGCGATTCAGCGACTCTTCGATTCGTATCGTGAATCGATAGATTCAGATGCGATTCTGCACCATTTCCGATTCCATGTACCTGTTCGAATCGATTTCTATGTGTATCGAACCGAATCGTACGATTCGAATCGCGAATCGTACGATTCTAACAATAGAGGTCTCAAGATAATTCTAAATGACGATTTTTATATTTTTTATTATTACTTTTTTTTTTTTTTGCAAAGTATATATTATTTAAAATTTAATTTTCTTCATTATTGAGATAAAAAAATTGTTTATTAAATATTTAAATTTAATTTTTTTTAATATTTGGGAGGCAAATTAATTTTTAAGGTATAGTTTGAGAGGTAAAATGAAATTTCAAATGAATTTTGGTGTCACGTCATCACATTCTGTCAAATTGTAGACAGAATGTGATGATTAAAATTTTAAAAGTTCGGGTGTAAAATTGATATTACTTGAAGTCTGGGGTCAAATTGAAAAATGCGTAAAAGTTTGAGAGACAAAATGATATTTCCTATAAATCTAACTCAAACTTAAACATAACCAATACAAATTAAATTCATTAATACAATCAATACAATTTAAAATCAAGTGAGAAATCCGACTCAAACTCCTATTACTTCATTCACTTAATTAATTATTGTATATGAGAAATTATTAGCTGAAATCAAGTCCATTGTAATACACCCATTAGGTGAAAAACATGTCAATATAAATAAAATTTTGAAAACGTATATACGTTTGGTTATCTGGTTAGTCCGATTTAAGTAAGGTCTAAACTAAGAATCAACTCAATTATATCCATTTGATGATTTGAAAATCTAAAACCAAACGAATACACTAGAAAATCAATCCAACCAAACCCAATCCAAAAAAGTCAATTTTGTTCAATTTTTTTTTTTTTTTTTTACTGGATAATTTGAACACCCTAATATTAACTTGGCACCTACTTTTTGTGGTTTCACTAATGAGGCAACTACTGTTGTGTTTAAGGGTTACCTATTAAATTGAATTTTTATTAGGAGAATTTTTATTGGGAGCTGTTATTCTCACTCTACTTTACTCCAAATATACTTTTTTTGTTTTATCCTTATTATACATAGTTACATTAATACTCTTGAAATTTTGAATTTTTCAGGGAGTATATTTTGTGTGAAAGGGTATTGATGTAACTATGTATAATAAGGATAAAGAAAGGAATATATTTAGGCTATGTTTGTTTGGGCGGACTGGATTAGCATTCCCATGACTAATAGTCCTAGGACTACGAATCCGTTGGATTATGTATCCTATCTTAACTAATAGTCAAGTTTAAAATAATTAGTCCGTACCTCAATTGTTTAACCAAATATCGGATTAATAATTTTATTGGACTATTAGTCCAATCCCAAGCTCATGTCCACCCAAACAAACATGGCCTTAGAGTAAAGTGGAGTTGGAATAGCGACTCCTTTTTTATTTTGATTTTCTAATTGAGCATTATATTTATGGAGTCATAACAAATTAGGGGATTGTTTGTTGTTTAGTTTTATTACTTATTATGGATAATAACTATCTAATATGAAAAAATAAAATACTAATTAATGTTGTTATCCATGTCATCACAATGGACCAAAAGGATTAATGGGGCCTAGAAGGGGCACCAAAAGCAGGTAGAGGATTGCATTCTCATGTGACATTCTCAATTTAATGTCGGACACATATTTCACACCCGTATTCACAAGTCCAACACAGATACTTCACAAATTTATGAGAGTTCATGCAAGATGCTTGTGATACTCTGATGTACAAGATAAAATTTCGTTCCATCATCCCAATAAAACTATTACACATGACAAACAGAGTCTGGATCAATGGTTACCATTTTATTATCCCATCATTGAATGCCATAGTGTTAGCCCCACACGTTGTTTATAATTGATTTTGATGATAACAACATAGATTTAAGAAGATAATAAGTTAATTTTATTCCAATCTCAAATATCCCTCAATAGAAAGGTAGTTCTCTGTTAATATCATCTCACATCTTCTCCATCAGTTGCTTCTCAACTATTTCTGCATCTTTATTGTGCTCTCTGATTTTATTTTCATGCCATTCTTTCTTAAAGCAAAATTAGAGAGTAGAGAAGATAATAATCCAGGTATGATGCAGTGAGCATACTTGCCATTGGCCAAATGGAGAAAAATAATTACCTGAATATGATAATTTGATCAGGCTTCCTTTTCCCCAAACTAACATAGAAATCCAGTAAAAGCTCCCTGAAATTGAAAGCGAGAGTCTTGCTTTGGCTCAATGGAGTTGTAATCATAATCACAGGAATATAACTAGCACTAAATTACATGAATAATCTGAATGGCATTTAATCAGCTGCATTACTAAAACAAGCAACAAAATTTGGAAACAAGAAACAGAGAATGACATAACGTACAATTCCTTTCATGTCTCCACATTTGATCAGATCTCTAACAAGGCCACGTATGTCGCACTGAGCCGAAAAGTTTACAACAGCCCAGCGCTCTAACCTGAAGATAACCAAAATACATCTAAAGTTGTAAAAAATATCTGACAGAAATCATAGAAATGAAACCATATCTAGTAAATGCTTCCAAACCAGATGAAAAGAATACAAAGTTGAAACCTATTGAAGCAATCAGAAAATTTTAACACCCTAAAGCAAATAATAGAACAACAACTGAAAAGCTATGACAACAAATGGAAGATGTGAATATCATGAATTAAGATTGCTGTATAAATTCTAGGCAGCAAAGGAAGAAAGTAAAAAAAGAAAAAAAGAAGGCATTAAACAGTGAATGGGTCTCAAAACTCCAAAGACAGGCACAATCTTTAAGTGGTCAACAACATCATAACAGGTTCCAACAACTCTTTAAGAATAAGTTACCAGAAACTATTAACTCTTAAAAAAAATACTGGAACCTCACTAAGACTCTGTGACCGAGAATTAGAAACATCACTAGGCAACATTTACCTAATATTACTCTTGCAACCATAAAAACATCATGTATAAAGAAGGGCTTGAATATGAGTATAAGAAAAACAAATTTTATATGCCATAATGTGCCACTAGCAGTAGCATGGAGAAACAAGTACGAAAACAAAAATAAAAAAATAAGGGAAAAATGCAGAGCGTTTGTTCAAACTCAAATCACACTATCGACAATTGAAATCATTGGAACAGATGACACTGGAATGGGAAATTGAAAACTCTAGTTGGAGCATTATGAGCCCTCCTCAAGCTGAAACAACTTACCTAGCCACAACATTTAACAACTACTTGGGTTCTATGGTGAGTTTTTAGGCTACCGATGGCGCTCTGATAAAGAATAGCTGCGAAGAGCACTATGTATACATATCAAACAAACTCCACAAAGCAAAAGATAGTATTGGATGTTAAAATGTGAAAAAAGTGGCAGATAAAGAAACTTTTAGCATATGAAACTCTCAATACATTTACAACTCCTGATGAGGCTTTCAGACATGAAAATCTAGCACAAAAAATGAGAACTCTTAACAGACAACAGGGCATATACAGTCATGAATAACCACAAACCCTTA